CTTGGCAGCCCCTTTGATTACTAATATCGAATCCAATTAATCTTCCCCATTTGACTAAGTCAGCCCCCCACAACATGTGGCGCGTGTGTCGAGTTATCATAAGTGATTTCGACTTGTGGAAAGTTTGTCAAAAACTTTCTCTAGCCAAGTCGATTTGTTGGGACAGACTTCTGACTCAATTGCCGCAAATTTTCAGTGACACCCGAATGGCAGTCTGCCAGGAACAGGACCAAAATCCATAATCCCCATCAGCAAGCGCCTGATTAGGTGGAGCATTAACTTGTCTAATTACAGAAGTGTCTGGCTTAAAGCTGCGTAATTTGATTTTGACTTTATGAATATTTTAATATATTTTAAAAATGAGTTTTATTATTTTAATTGCCAGTTGCATATATTATTTTGTTTTTATTTTGTTATTTGAATTAATTGATATCTTGGTAATCATAAATATTGTTGATAAGTTATTGTTAGTGCTGGTAGCTTTCATTGGTTGAACCGGTTATTTATAATACCGTTTAAAATTGATTTTAAATTGGTATTATTAATTTATGTAATTAATTTATATTTTAATTTATGTTAAATCAAAGTTTATTTTTGTAGAATATTTTTATTTAACTCACTTTAGTTGTTAGATTTTAATATTTATGAATTAGCATACATATATTATTGCTTTTTAGAATTTATTTAATTTTAAATATTAATGAAATATATTTGAACCACTTTAATTTCTTAAAAGTTGTTTGGTTATGTTTTATTTAAAAACCTTTTTTCTTATTTCTTATTTGGAATGCAGAAAATTTAAATATAATTTTAAGAAGACACTACGTTTTTATTTCCACTTGCTGTTGCACTTTTATATTCACGTTTATTTTAAAGCAAAAGGCTTCTCAAATTCTATTCTATATGCGATTCTTGTGTTTGAAATTCGATTTGAAATGCATTTTCGAGCGCTATGTTTTGAAAATATCTCGCGGTTGAAGCGCAAGAGGCGTTTGTCTTAGATACGCTCGCCTCGGCACTGGGATAAGGACTGAAGTCCTGCTCGGGAACATTGCTCGGCAAAAGGAAGTGGCGCAGGCTCGGAAAGCGAAACGGAAATGCGGGAACTCACCACAGTGGTGGGTTTCGAGGTTTGAGGGCGCCAAACAGCTGAGATGCCGGCAGCCGTTATTGTTTATGTTTTTTCCAGCCGAGGAGAGCGAAAAGAAAAGCTTGGGGAAAACAGGAAAAGCGTTGGGGAAAAACGTCTGTTAAGCAAAAGCTTTCCCCTAACAGTAGCTTTTCCACTAGTTAATAGGAATTCAAGATTCGACTGTTAGCCAGAAGAATGCATAAATTAAATGCCAGGATGTTAGGCAAAAATTCAATTAAAACTTTTTATTGACAAATTAGAATGCTGGAATGCTGGAAAAACGCCTTGGGAAAGGGCAACCAATAGAGTGAAAGTGAAAAAGGAAATCTTTTTGATTTGAAGGCCAGGTGGGTGGGTGAGCTGCCCCCACCTGTTGGCAGGGGTTATAAATCCAAGTTTCCGAAACGCACGGCCAAGCAATTTAGCCTTTGAACGGCGAGGAGGGGAATCCACATCCTGGCAGGGGCATCAATCATTCCGGAAGGCAACCGTTTCATTTGGGAGGCGAGTCAATCTTGTGAGCGCCACCTTAACCAATTACCTAACCGCAGATGAAAACCAAGGGGGGGGGGCTCTACCTTTGTTTGCTCCGAAGATAAGACTTGCCACAAACATTCCGACCCTAAGTTATGCAGAGCGACGCACTCGAGCCTAACCCAACTGGAAATGGATCCGGTGAGCTGGTGCCGAGTTCATAAAATATTTATTTATGCGGATGCTGCGGCTCGATCTGGGGATATAAAGATCTGGTGGATGGGGTTTTGGGGGTCTCAAAGACTGATTGAAATGGTGAACGAGTTCATTTGTGTGTCAGGAGGTCGTCTGTCTTCTCATTTGTTAAACGTTTTGTGCGGCTGACGACGTCGAATGCATATACATATATATCCCCGGATTTGCGCAATAATCAATCATAATGAATGGCCAGGTTAAGGTGGTCAAAAGGGTAGCAATGCCCCCCACCACACACATGAAATGGCAAATTGGTTGCCGTTAAAGTTTAACTCAACTACCCCAAACCTTTGGGGCCCCAAAAAATAGGGGAAATGAAAAGTTTACCGTCTTTTCTTAAGTTTCCCAACCTTTACCCAACTCACTTCCTGACGTATGTATTTATTGCGTCTGCCTTTGTTTTTCCAGCCATTAAGAGGAATGGCGGCAAAACTTTCACCAAAGTCATAAATGCATTGAACTTGACTTTAATCCCTGGCGAGCTCAGCGTGAAAACTGTTAAAAGGATTTTCTCTACGAAATTTTTTATAATTCGAACTTTTTAGTGAGAAAAACTTAGTGAGAATGAAAACTATAAGTTGTTGGCTTAATTAATATAAAATGAATGTTACAACTAATTTATGTCCTATTATTTTTATAAAAACTTGATTTTGGTAAAGAAAGCTTTAAAATAAATTAACCCATGTTTTCAAACATTTTTTTTATGTTTGGTAGGCATTTACATACAATTCATATTTCAATTTATACTGACAAATGGGCGTGATAAATTACCTGCAAAAAAGAAAGGTTAAACCCATCAGATTAGATAAATAACACATTAAGAAATTTGTCAGGAGTTGTTTAATCTAAATTTATTTCATACAAGAATGCACTTGAGCTCTTGAATTCCTGCAGGTCTTTCATAAGGTCTATTAGTCCATGGAGTCTTCTCAATCAGGGCTCACAACGTCGGCAAACGAACATGCCAAAAACCATGCCCATTCCAAAGCAGATGACATAGCCCATTTTTGCTTACTGCAGAAGGTATTTTCAGTAGAACTTAACATAAAGTCGAATTTACAGAGACTTACGCGGTGATTCTTGGCAATTAGAAAACCCACGATTCCTCCGACAATGAAAGTAATAAACCGCTGCATATTTTCTTATAAAACTCCGATCTTCTTGGTTTTAAATGGGGAATTTTGTTTGTTTTTTAGTGCACGCAAGTGTACACACTTCGAGTAGACTGCCGAATGAGGAATGATTATTTGACTTTGGGCCAAAACTTTAGAAAAGGAAAAGCAAAGCCTACTAGTGTTATTTTTTTAACACTTTTCCATCATTTTTTGGAATACAAAATAATGTTAAATTTTTACAGTTGTTAAAGCTGCATTTTGAACTTTTAAAATATGTTTTTTAATTCTATTTTTATATAATTTGACAATATTTGAGTGTTGGGGAGGATGTTTCTGTACTTTACCTTCCGCAAGGTCATATACTCGTAGGTATTACCCGCATTCAAAAAGGAAGTTTAGTCAGGCTTAAATACTGTTATTTTGTTACATGTTAATAGAAGCCGCACCTATGTATTCTTTGATATTAGAAAACCCACAAGACAGCCTATGATAAAGATTAATATCCACTCCATAACCGTTTAAACAGATAATTTTCGCGCAAATATTTGGTCAAATTGTGAATTTAATTGAAATTGAATAAACTTGAAACAGACTTTTTTAGAAAAGCCAACTACTTGGATATGAAATAGTATAATCATATATTTTTTTGCCAGTACTTAAGTAAATATTACAGTTAAAACATAAATTCTTTAACTTCTCATAATATAATAGTTTTTATTGTTTATATTTTAACAGATGTTTTTCTTGATAAATTTAGAATACTTCCAGTTCAATATATGGGGGATCTAGCACTTCCGGCAGCTCATCATTCCAATAATCACGCCCAAGGCAAAGGAGATAACGTGAGTCATTTTGCTTCTTTGATTTGGATGCGGGTTATTCGAAAAGGATTTGCAATTCTTGATCCCAATATTCAAGTGAATTTTACAGTCGGAAACCAGTCCAGATTTCGAAGTTTAGGCAGGCAGGAATATTCTAGTACATAGAATCCCAAGTGTACTTTGGTTGGCCATTCAATATATATTTTGGGCCTCCTTTAGCACTCCATTGATTTGTCCTCCCCTAGGTATTCCTGGCCACCATGTATCCAACCAAACAGCCAACTAGAAATGTGATCACCCAATCCACATCCATTTTATCCAAACGAATTCAGTTCAGTTCAGTGAAACTTGTAAGGTTATCAGAATTATAAGGCTAGAAGAAATACAGTGAAAGTTAAGCAAAAGCCTACTTGAAAATGCATTGAAGTTCTTACCTTTTTTATTGGTTCTTGCCTATCAAATAACCCACAATACAGCCTACAATAAAGGTGAGAAACCAAGAGTTATCCATTATTTTTGGACCAGGAGTAACAGAAACCAGGCCTTAGCTTTCTTGAACGAAAAGTGTGGATATCGTTTTTGAAAAGTATTTTAAAATGACATTATAAGCCTGGGAGTACAGACCGAGATTGCTTTTACTTTTCGGAAAAATGAATTTTAATCGATAAATCGAATCTTATTAATCTAAGGTTTTAATAAAATTTTGCGACTTTATTAAATAAAATTCATTTTGTAAGAAAATGTTGGGCTTTTTGAGTGCTCTAAAAAAAGCAGATTATGGATTTTTTCAAAATGATTTTGGAAATAAGTCAGAAATCATTAAAAAGTATAAATATGGACACCCACCAATCTATATTTATTATTTAATTCGACTCGAAAACCACTTGAAAATATCACCTGAACATTTAAAGTGGAAATATAGATGTATAGATATAGCTGATTAGGGGTGAAAGACTCAGTGTGCTAATAGCAACTCATAATCTTATACGCGTCTATGTCAAAACAGTGTTCCTAGAGTTGGCAGTGGTCAAAAAATTTATGAAAACTCGACTAGAATATATATTGATATACATACAGCATGAACTTGAATTTTTAAAATGTAGTAAATTTATTATTAAAAGATGTTCATATTTTTACTTAAGGGGAAGTATGTTCTGCTCACTCTTTAAAATAAGCATGGCTTGAAAAAACTTTCAAATGCAGTTTCAGAAAGTAGTGTACGAAATCAGTGTCAATAACTCGGCTCACATGTGATAGCAGCACAGACCTCACTACTCTAAATTTTCGATTCGGCTAACATCATTTTTCTGTTGTTTTTTTTGGCGTAAAATTTAATCGTTTTTCGAAGAACCCTCCGATTTCAAAACCGTTGAAGATGTGCGACAAACCCGCCTGTCCCCCACCCCCGCGATGCTGTCCTCCACCACCGCCCCCCTGTCGTCCGCCGCCCACCTTGTGGCAGAAGTTGAACTGCGTGCCCTGCAACCGATTCTTCTTCTTCTTGATCGGGGCGGGAATCGGGTTATACTGGGATCAGCTGAAGAAGGAGGCCCAGAAGGCCGCCGAGGAGGCGGCCAAGTCGCCCAAGGAGAAGGAGAAGGAGGCCAAGGAGCGCGAGAAGAAGCAGAAGGAGAAGGAGAAGGCCGACAAGGAGAAGGCCAAGGCCGAAAAGGACAAGGCGGAGAAGGAGCGGAAGGAGAAGGAGAAGAAGGACAAGGAGAACAAGGGCAAGGAGAAGGGCAAGGAGGCCAAGTAACGCTAAGGATCCCCAAGATCCCCCGGAGATGTCAAGGAGCAGTATACCTTACCCCAAAATTCCAGTCACCAATCGTTTCTACAATCCCCAAATTTCAAGTACTACAAAATTATTATTGGACAGTCCCCTGCCACGTTGATGGACGGCTTCTTCATTTACAATCTAGTGTATACCCCAATACTTCCAGATCAAGACTTAGGATCGGAATGGAATTCGAACTGGACTGAAGTAATGGCTTAATAAAATAATGGATAATCATTCATGTTTGCACATAACGTGGCGAAAAATATACAAAATCCACAAATCTCTTTTACAATCGGGGTTTTGGCGACTTCTGTTATACCATCCGTATCAAAAATGGAAACTACGCAAAAAATTGTTATTACCGATTGAGGCTTATAAGTTTGTTGATATACTTATTAAAATGTTAACATGATGAACAAAAATTTATTGCCTATTTTTAGGTAGTACGGTCATACTACTTAATATACTTTAAGAAACGGCGGCGTTATAGAAATGCCCATAATGAATCAATTTACAATTTTGTATTTAACTATACAGATATCTAATATTTAAATATTTAGGCTAGGCTTTAAGTAAGGTTAGCAAATCAATGGCCGTTATCGATAGTATTGTTGAGGATCAACAATATTGATTCAACATTTTTTTACATACAGTTTTCATTATACAAACAATTGTATCGGTATTATCGATATCCATGGTTGTCACTATCGATAGCCAAAACTATTCATGGTACCCACATTTGACATTTTTCCAACTCTAGTCCTCGGATGTCCATACCTCAATACTTAAGCACCCAAGTTTGATAATACCCCTATGGGTATTCGCTATTGATACCCCAATTAAAAATTCGATTAGTTTTAAACGGTTAATTCCTGTACAGCCATAAATTTATATATTTTAATTTAATAATTTAACAGAGAAATAGAGAATAGATCAACCGAAGAAATCCGTAGAAACTATGGTAGGTAATTGTTCGATTGACAAATTGCTCTATTGATAAATTTATCGACTGAGAAATTTCTTGTTCACCAATTCTTCGGCGGACAAACTTATCGAATGGCATTTTGTCTTCGCTGGCCGTGTTGAGGCTTGAGAACTTCATAGTGATTCCAGATGGTTCCGGGTGGCTCGATGTCGATTAACTACTGGACGGGATTGGGTTCTTGGTAACGCCGCTGGCCCATGTGGAAAACCCTCACTTCTTCTTGCCGTCCTTGTTGCGCACGAAGAGCACGCCCAGTCCCACCCCGATCACGAAGAACAGGACGCGATTGCAAGGCGTACAGTTGAGCCTGGCTAGGAGCGACGGCATCGGCCGGCACACCCGCCGGGCTTCGGTACGCTTACAGCAGGGCATGGCTCCAAAAGCTCGACAGGATTTGCCACAATTTTGACCGAAACTTGGATTGGTATTGCTGGCAGGTGTCGGATGAAAACCAAACACGGTAAAAATTTTGTGCAAGTCAAAAGTCTGATAATACTGGTTGTAAAGCCGAATAACTACTGAGCTGTGTCAAAGCGACCGGGTTGACAGGTCGTCGAACTCGACTGAAGGTTTTCCTCTCGACTACTAGATTGGAGATATTATCTGATGGTATTATCCTAGATATAGTATCTTATTTATTAATACGCACCTTAATATTTTTTGTGTTTTTCTTTTTAGTGGCTTGCAACCTTAAAAACTTAGGATCTCCTGATACGACCTACTTCTTCTTATCCTTGCTGGAATCCTTGGCCTTGGTGTCCTCTGGGAAGGTTTTGCCGTACCACAAACCCACCAAGACGCCCGCAAAAACCGAAGTCAATCGCTCGCACATCAAATGCATGGTGTAGATGGTAATTGCCAAACAAAAGAAACTACTAACGGATCTTTAAAAATTTTACACAATTTAGAAAATTTTCAGATTCATGGAAGTATACTGCTGTGACCAAAACGGATAACTGAAAAATGCCAGCTCGAAATTCCAAAGCACATTAACCCAAATCTCACAGCCTGCTTCTCAGCACTTTCTATACAATTTAAATTATTGGGTTTGGCCCGGCGCACACTTAATTAACTGAATGATTACAAAGGGCAATTTAATTAGCCGGGATTACGTGTGTCCCTGGGCTGTGAAAATGCGAAATAAAAGTGCCATTATACCACCTCCGTTGGCAACTCTTATTGAAATTCCCGTGTATTTGTGTGGCATGCAGCACAACAAAGGCGCCGCATGCTACAAAGGACATGATTTGGCCAAATGTGAATAAGTTGGGGGGATGAGAGCCACAGGAGTAAGTACAAATGTATCCTGTGAATACAGCAAAACATGACTTCTGCACTTGAAATGTATATTTTTTTAAACCTTTAAATGTTTCCAAAATTTTAAGAGAAATTTAAAGATCTCTTTTTGATATAATAAGCATTTTTGCATCTTTATTAAAATGCCAAGGGGCATCATTAGAGTAAATCAGCTGGGTGGAATCGTAATAAAACATGGTTCTGAATCCTAAGAAGCATCGATAACAATAGAGCTTTTCCGGTGGGACGTTATCAGAAGCATTATCGTATCCGGTCAGTGGTCATTTACTTCAAACTTTCTCTTCTCATGCCGATTGCATCGTCGACATTTGAATTTTGCTTCTGCCTATTAGAACTTGTACGGGTAACTAGAGGAGAAATTTGGATAAGACAGCTGGCACATACGTATCGTATCGTTTTCGGGTAAGTGGAGCCCTAAGTAGTTCCACCCAGATAAGCTATTTCTTATCCCTACTCCTTGCCTTTCTCCTGGACCTTCGCCTTGTCCTTGCCTTTGTCCTTGGGCTTCGAGTGGTCCCCTCCCCCCTTGGCCTTTTCACAGGGGAAATTCTTGGCGTACCATACACCGACCATAGCGCCCGCGGTCAGGGCCGAAAGTCTGTCGCAAAGCATCCTCATTTCAGGGAGTATAAAACAAGCTAATCCGGTTAAAAATATAGATATAGAGCAATTTTGAAGACTTGAAATTTTAAACTTTAGAGTTGTTGATAGTTTGGAAGAAACAGAAAGAATGGGGCAGCCTGCTTTGGGGTCGTTTCAAAGGAAATTCTGAATTTTAATAAATCTTTAATTTAATAAAAATCTTACTACAGAGAATTTCTATCAAAGAAGTACAGATTCTTCCACTGTAAACATTGGTATTTCGTTTTAAGCTTCTATTTATTCTAAATCGCTCTACAATAATAGTTCTTTCCAATCTAAATCTTGTTTCATTTCAAGACATCCCTTGACATCACCACATTTATCCAAAGTGACTTGCAGAATTGTATTTGGCTTATTTACACCCAGGCCAAACCACACAAGCGAAATCCTCCCCAAGTTTGCAAAGGTTCTTCTATGTCACTCAGCAGCAGACAAAACCAAAAAGGTGAGGTTAGCCACGGAATCCCCCCCATTGTTTTCTTTTTTTAAAAGACTTGGGTAACCGTTTTTAACGTTTTGGAACTTTAAACACCTGAGAATGATGCTAAAAATAAACTATTTAAATAATCTCATCCTCATGTTAAGCTAAAGGTATACAACCCAGGAAATGTATGGAAATTGGGAGTTTTAAGCCTACTCTTAGTTCAATATGCGTACGGGAAATTTGACCCCATAGTTGTATATCCTTTGCAAATGTTCTTGATTAATGTTTGAGACCATTTTTGATGGTATACGTCTATTTTTTATTTTATTTACTCATTCAATTACACCAGTTTACTAAATTAAATCATCAAAATACTCCACATGAAAGCTCCACACATAAGAAAAGGGCTCTTACAATAACTAGTAGTACTCATACCCTCTTCAACTTTGGTTAATATATGCAGGTGCTAAGGCCTACAACTATTGGCACTACTAGAACAAAACATGATGTGACTTGCACATACACATAGAATAACAAATATAATTGACTACAAAGAAGTATAAGGTCATACAGCTTACCATATGGACATAAGCCCATTTGCTGTCTATAAATATATATCATTTTTAGTATTATTCCCTAGATCAAAGTCCGTTAATTAAAATAAAAACCTTTTTTTCTGGGTGTATTATAACAAACTTGTTCGTCATAGCTCAAGTAACAGCTGAAGAAATGAAGGTTAATACTAAATATGAGTAAGCTGAAATCTAATAATAATAATATTAATATTATTATTAGGTGTGTATTAATATTTATTGCTATATGCAACAGGAAGTGGTTCTATTGAGTGCATAACATCACGAGATAACTGAAGATGGTATTACAGTTCCTAAGAGAGCACGTTTCTCCACAAGCATTGATTGACCCCTTTGGGTCCCCCGATGACCACTCACCTGGGGATCTGCAGCGCGATCTCGTCCAGACTGTCCGACGGACTCATGGGCGTGCGCTCGAAGAGGCGCGAGGGGGCCAGGGTCAGGTGGCCGGTGGAGTCGCTGACACACTTGAAGACCTTGGCCCCCCTCCGCTGCCGCTGCTGGCGCTGCTGCTCCACGCGCTTCTTGCGCTTGTTTTCCTCGGCGCGCTGCAGGTTATGCAATCGAAAGAAGAACATTGACATTCTGCGGGGGGTGGTGGTTCGGTTTTTTGGGTGTTTTTTGAGTGGGTGTTTTTTGGGTGTTATGACGAGTTGATTGCCGAAATAATTTCAATTGCAGTTCCAATGTTTGTTTGTTTTAGCGGGTTGATTTTCCGTCGAATTTCGCCACGTTATTGTGCACAATTTTTCGATTATTGTTGTCGAGGGTGTTTTAATTGTTGGTTTTGTTTGGTTTTTTTGGTTTGCACAAATATTTTTAGTAATTTTGTTAAGCATTTTATGTTGGTTGTTGGTCGATTGCAGTTTTTATAGTCATCAAAAGCATGAGTTATTGTGAGGCATATGGTAAAAGCACACCGAATTTACAGATATAATTTATGTTTTTTGTGGGTGTTTGAGGGAGCTTTCTATACTTGAAAATGACACAAACAGCAGACAAAAGCATAAATAAATGCATACATGGTGAATTATTTATGGGCTGATTAACAAAAAGCCAAACAGGAATAATAGAATATTTTTGCAAAGTGCCCTTGTGCCAAATTAATTGAAATTTCCAACTATTTAATTTTCTAAATACACTAATTTAATGACTTTGTGAGAGGTAAAAACCCCAACTAATCTTAATGATTTAAGATATCAAATTAAAATAAATCCCCAAGATGACTAAACTAACAAAAGGAACAAATTAATAATTAAGTTTTACTCTGCAGCATTTAATTCCAACAGCTTAAGGAAAAACCTCACATTTAATCCCAGCAATCCCGAGATTACAAAAGCAAACTAATGGCAAAACTAAATCAAATAGAGAGCCACACGCTCGAGGGCGCAAACCAACTTCCGTAGTATCAATCAAATTTCAAGTGAAATAGCATTTTTGAACAAAAAATGTGGATAACTTTCCAACTGACAGAAGGCAGCAACAAACTGGCAACTGTCCGCAAACGGAGGACTCAAAAGCCAAAATGCTGAAATGCTACTACCATTCCGGAAATTGAAATATGAACCACATTCTGGGCAAGAGAATGTCCCTTCGAAAATGGGGCACAATGTCCTTGGAAAAGGCAGGAAATGGCGGAAGTTCTGTGGGTAAGCCCCGATTTCCAAAAGAATTTAAAGCTGTAGGTCCGCTCATTATTTTGAGATTTCTTATGGATTGGCCCAAGGCCAAAGGCAAATTCGGTTGGCAAATTGATTGATTGATCGGCTGCAATCAGCTGGTTTGGCAAATACATATTTGCCGGTAATCAACCGATTCTCTTGTCATCAGCCCGAGATTTCCGTTCAATTAGCCAGCGAGTTCCCTGCTTAATGAGCCTGGTGGAATGAATGCTCCCGCTTGTGTCAAAAATAAATTAATCGAAATTTGCATAAATTTGTTTTGGTCTGGAGACATTGTCGCGTCGTCTGCCTCAATACTCCAAACACTCTAAATGATTGCGTACCCGAAACTTAATTATAAAAGCCAACAGAAAATAAGGGGGCAATGTGGGTGGCACTGAAGTGGGATATAAACGAAAACTCTGCAATATCATTAGCTGGTTTTGCTGAAACGTTTGATTTGGCTAATATTAAAAGTATGTACTCTAAATAGGAAAATTAGATTTAAAATTCTAAAATCTAAAAATGCTTCTAATACATTCATGCTATCAAACACTCACTTTCTATTCATTAAGCTTAAACCGTATAGTTATTAAATTTAATAAATCTACTTTCTGTTGAATTTAAGTTTTATTTATCCAATTAAGTTCTCTTTAAAGCATCAATTCTAAAATCCAAAAATGCCTCTAATTCATACGAGTACATACAAGAATAAATTTCAACTATCATTCATTCATTCCTATCCATTGTGCTTATGCAGTATAGTTATTAAATTTAATAAATCTTTTATCAGTTAAATTTGAGTTTTACTCATCCAATTATGTTCTCTTTAAAGCATCAACTTAAACAAAAAGAATATTTAAATGCCACCCAGCTGCACATATAATCCTAAACATTTATTATAGCCCAGAATGACGAAGCTCTAAAGCAAATTACACAAAAAGAGCCAAGAAAAATAAATAAAAGCGAAAGTAAGTTCCTTGTCATAAATGGCTGTTCATAATCGGATGTTTTTGTATGACAATACCCCTATTAGTACTAATGACGTTTCTTACTGCCCATCTACTCATCCACATGGCACTGCAAATTAAAGTAAAATCCAACAATTAATAATCCCTAGGCCTTTGGAAACTCAGCTGCCTAAGACTCAAAAATAAAAACTATGTATTTCCCATGCCAAATTGCCTTTTATATTGTAGTTTAGAGTAAATTTGCTCCACATTAAATAAAAAGTTATTTAAAAGCTTCACCAATTGAAATTTTATGCCTATTATAATAACAGAAAGAAAATATACCTCCATTCAGTCAGTTAAAGTTACTATGAGAAACATCACAGTTGTTTTTTTGGGTTTAATTTCTATAGTTTTGGCTCATCTTGTAATAAAACGACCAGGTAAGTAACGAATTTTACTGTATATGAGTATAAGTACTATATCTCTCTCAATTTCAGGGGTTAACTACTGTACTATGGGTGTGGTGGTAATTAGACATCGAGTAATGTGCGATCCCCTGCGATCACTTTGGGTCCTTAGAGATGGTAAATGCAAGGAGGCCCTTCATTGCATTGACGGTTACTCAAAGAAGCAGTGTGAGGAGAATTGCCTAAATCGCAGGACCAAAGTGAAACCCAAACCTACTCCCAAACCCAAACCCAAGCCCATAAACCTAAAAACAGCAGCCAAGTCAGGACGTTTAACCACTTGTGCAACAACACAGGCTGAAATTAAAAGAACAACTAAGCAATACCAGACCACAACAAGAGGATATTTACCATCTACCAGAGAAACTAGAAGACCTAAGAGAACCCGAAGAACGAGACGGTATGAAATCAAAGAGATATGCTAATTAGGTGGTTTAAAAATATGTATATACATTTTTAAAAAGTTTTTGCTAGAAACTATAGATAATTATAATAAACTGTGACTATTAAATTATAATATTTAATTCTGTATGTTGAAATAAATAATTTCAATTTAATGACGAGAGCTTTAGGACCTGTATGTATTTACATTTTTAAAAAGTTTTTGCTTGAAACTATAAATAATTATAGTAAGCTGTGACTATTAAATTATGATATTTAATTCTGAATGCCGAAATAAATATTTTCAATTAAATTTCTAGAGCTTTGGGACCTCCTAATTAGGATTGTTTTTAGAGTGCAAGACGGTATGCCATCAAAGAGATATACTAACTAGGTGATATAAAAATATATAAATACATTTTAAAAAAGTTTTTGCTAGAAGCTATTAATAACAATAATAAACTGTTACTATAAAACTATTATATTTATTCAGAATGTCGAAATAAATAATTTTGATTAATATTCTATTAAATTTCGAGAGCTTTAGGATCTCCCAATTAGGATTGTTTATAAAGCGCTTTAGTGGGGAACCCATAAGCTCTTCCAAATTAGCAAATCATTTAAATAACATAAAATCCCCTTCAAACCGAGGACAGGCTTCCGATTTCTCCACCCCAACAAAGTATTTTCACGTCCATTGAAAAACGTCGTAAAAAAAAGCGAAGGCGCACAATGTGCTACATTTTCGGAAAGGCGAACAATACCGATGCAGGAATCGAAAAAAGCGAAGGGAAAGCAATAATCATTAGGCCAACAAAGGACCTCCCTCTGCTGAGGGATTGAGGTTTCGCCAGGCTCTTCTATCGGGTTGAGTGCGTTGTCAAACGCTGACCAGGCTAAAAAAAAAAAAGAGGAGGGAAACAAAACAAAAAAAAGCCCCTGAAAAATGCCAAAATAAACACTTGTCGCTGGTGGAAAATTCGGAACGGTGGTGGCTTAGGTGGTTTTCCCAACCACAAAAGAGAATATTTTCCAGCTCAGCACGCGTTTAGGCGCTGGTGCGTGCCTTTATTCCTGGAGACCATTAGCCTGGCGAGTGGGAGATATACTATACACATACCATACATATATAGATATATATATAGAGGGCACACCCGGGGAGGAACCCACAGACGGATGGCAGACAGGATACAATCTTTTCACGGTGCTTGGCCTGGCCTGACTTGCCCCAACCAGCAAAAGATACGTAATAAAAATGTAGACAATTTTTACGACAGTGTCCGAACAACACAAGTGGACATTCCGCTTTTATTTCTTCATTAAAAAGCAGTATTGATTGCCCAACAGGAGAGCATGGAGCAACCGAGGAGCTGCCCCCGAGGACCTTTATATATATGCATCCATACTTTTATTATAGTTTGCCACACAAAAGGTCTTTGTGTGCCACGTTATTGGGCTTTCTCGGCCGCCTCCACTCTGTATTTGATTTATCCATATTGAAAATCATATCTGTCGCTGGCTTTTCATCTATTGAATGCCTTTGCGGAGGGTATTTTCATTTCAACTGGAGTCACAAGTACATCTGTCACTTTAATCAAGTGTATATTCGAAAGTAACACACTTCTCATTCAAGTGAACCATGACTTTGATGTCCTTTAATTGATTACCCGTATCCTGTTAAATGAGCGATAATGTGAGAACAATTTTTCAGCGCCAACTAACGACTCCCTAATGACCTATTTATCGCTCCCCATGTGATGAATGGCAAACCTATATATACGGGCCTAATTGGCCTGACCTAAAAACCCTATAAAGTGGCCGGGGACCGAATGCAAATAGTCAGTTTTCAAGATGGGACCAACTAGCTCGCAAATTTATAGTTTAATCACAAAGTTTACGGCTCTCAATGGGCTAAATACTTACTATTTTAATACGAAGAAGAATGGATTTAGGGGCACCTGGGAGCTGAAGATATACTGCCTGATACACCACATTCTCTGTATTTTGGCTCTGGGATGGATGCTTTATATGACCGCTGGTAATATAAGGATTTGTGTGACAGTTCTTACGATGGGTGGAACTTCTGCCTTCTGCATGCAGTTCTGTTGGCAAAAAACCCAGGGCATAAAAAAATTGGCCAATGGTTTGATCAAAATGGAGCAGAGATATTTCACTGGAAAACCAAGCGGATCTCTTTTGAAATACCGATTTTACATGAAAATCACATTCGTTTCGATAACTCTGCTGCGCATCCATCTATTTTATCCCATTTATCTGAAGAGACTTTTACCATCTCACTTTTATCTGAATTTGGTATCTTGTTGGCTGGTCTACAATATGCTTTTGGCAGCTGTTCTAGTACTCTACGTTTTTCTTTGGCAAATAAGTCGCATTCAAAAGCTTATAAATGAGAAAATGACACTGATTTTAACCAGATCAAGGCAGAGAAATCGCTTGAAGAAAATGCTACACTGCTTCAAACTCTATTCAAAACTTCTGGTGCTAAGCGACCAAGTAAATTTTGAATTTGGATATATTTCGGTGTGCGTTCTGGCCTGCAAAAGTTGGTTCCAAATTACCTACGGCTACGAGATATTCCAGATACTGGCTGCCCCAAAATCCATCGATTTAAGTGTGGCAATGAGAGTGTATGTAATACTCAGCTACATTTTGGATGCATTCAATCTTTTTATTGGAACAGACATTGCTGATATTTTCACCAATTATAGAGCTGACTCGCAGCGCATTTTACGCGAGACAAATCGCATGGAACGATTGGTGAGTAACTTAATATATATATTTTATAAATATTTTCCAATCAAAAGATAACTTGAGGTGTAGTCTGGGGGTCTCTTATGAAGACATTTTATCTTATTCAGCATTTAGAAGAATGTAACCCCTTTCATAGCTTAAAAAGCTCTTACTTGAATAGGTATACTTTTAATCGAACTAGAAGTAATTTATTTCTATGATAACTAATCAAAAAACCAAATTTTTTTTTTATATCCAATTTGAACAGTATCTCTAACACAAAATATTTGGAATTCTTTTTTAGTTTTTGGCTAAAGTTTCTTAAACTTTAGAAAATGGTTATACCTAAATTCAAAATCAATCAAAAATCAGAAAATCGTAACCATCCAAAACGGTTTAAGTTGTACTAAAAGTACTTAAAAAAGCTTCTGAATAATCCAGATTTGAATATATTCATGCAGGGCTGTAATATCTACATATAACCGTATATTTGGAATTTCTATATATTTTTTAGTAAACTTTGTATAACTCTAGGGACATTCTGTTTAAAACCTAATCTTCTTTGGTTTGTGAAATGTTCTTCAAAATTAAATTCGAAGTGTTTAACCCAAGAAACTTCCTGCCAAGTCAGCTCATTCTGTATTAGAGCATTCTAAACTTCCTTTTTGAACTCCTATTTCAGGTCTCCATGTTCACCTTGAAGCTGGCCCTATATCCCAAGCAGGTTGTCTTTCTCAACGTGTTTACTTTGGACCGAAAGCTGACTCTGGCGCTTATGGCCAAGTCGACGTTGTACACAATATGCTGGCTGCAAGGCGACTACAACAAACTGAAGGCATAGACCGTCGAATCCGCATTCAAAGCAAATCCTCCGGTTCTAAGAGTTTATTATACGAGGCACAAGAGTTTGTCTGGACCTAGGACACAAAGCAAAAAACCAAGCCACATGCACAACTTGAACCGAACCAAACAAACATTTACATATATGTGTATTCAGTAAATATATAATGGAAAAATCAACGACAATGCATCCAAATCCAGAGCCACAAACCAAGAAGCTGTGCACAATGACGATTGGTTGGGTGATGAAGATGATGGTGATGAGGAAGGATTGGCTAAGGTTGCACAATAGTTGACTAAAAAGTAGGCATTATATTATGGATTCGAATATTACTCTACCCTGTGCAAGGTTAAAACAAGTTATTCTGATGATGTTTACCTTTCATTAAACTTTAAATGAGTGAGTTATGGAAGAAGTTTGCTTAATAAACTGTGTATTTCGTATAAATTCCTCTAGCTCACCAGAATTAAATTAGGAACTGTAACATTTTTTTAAACTCGTATACAAAAGTAAAGTTCTGGGGTTTCCTGTTTTTTCATTTAATTAAAGTATGAATGTTGTATAACTATGCTTTCTATTATTTTATTTACAAAGTTTCTCTTTCGTGGCCTTTTTGTTTCTCCACCGGAACCTTTCAAGCCATTCCAGGGTATTTTCCCCCACATCCGGCGACAACAATGGACTCCGTTTCCTTTACTTTGTGCAGGTGTATTACTTCTATGTCATTGTGTATTTGATGCCAAAGAGTGAACATTTTAATTTGATTTGCCATGAATGAAAACCATCTGCAGGTGCGGTGTGAAAATTGTCGAGCAAACAAAGATGAGCGGGGGAAAACCGAATGGATGATGAAGGGTAAGGTGAGTGAGAAATCAAAGGATAAACAAAACTTACTTGTGGAAACCAATTAGCTAACTTGTAGTTACGAATGCTGGCTAAACGGCTGCAGTTGGGGTTATTATTATTGTTGTTATCATTGTTATCGTTGCCACTGCCACTCGGCGTGTTCTGCTCAAAGTCGACGTTGCTCATCTTGCAGAAGGACTCTCGCAGGATGGCTATATCGTGCTAGGAACTCATAGATACACAGGCAAGGGCACAGATACACACACACACAGTTACGGCCACATAAATGCATAAGGAACACTTATAGACAGATCTACCAAAGCACAGCAATGAAAGCTCCCAGAAAAGATTGTTTAATGTGTTTGTTAGTTACCTGAAAGCGGTCTTTGTTTTTTTTTCTGCCCGGTCTAAATGCTTTTTGCACGACAAAAATACGATATATATATATATTGTATATGGTAAGTTAGTGTTTTTATAAATAGGTTGAATATGTTTATAGCACAGTCTACAGTTTACACGTTCAGTTACACTTTACACACGAGAATTGACAGCAAAATTCGAGTTTGGTTTTGCCCCTCTCCGTTCTTAGTTGTCTAGTTTAAAGCTTTTACCAAGTTTGTATTCCATTCTGGTCATATGTACACTTAAGTGCTAGGCTAATAATAAATGTTCCTAAATTAAATCCGTATAACCGATACTGCTTGGTCTTCGATTTGTATTACAAGCACAAGTCTCACATTGATATTTTTTGCAGCTTAAATTTAGTTTCCGCGTTTTGGTCCGCTCAGTTGGATTAGGTATTTGTTTATTTATTAGTTAGTTATTAAGTGTATTTGGTCAGTTGCTGGTTGATATCGTGTGTGTATGTATATATATTTAAAGCTGCTTTTCTTGGACTCCTCCAGTTGATATTTATTGTTTTCTCCGTTCGTGCTGCAAATGAGAAATATATATGGATGCTGGGGGCAAGGAAGGATAAAAAAAACTAAATATCCGCATCGACTCAAGTGTGCTGGCCCTCCCGGGAGCCAACTGAAACATTTGCTTGCCAAACGAAATTATGGCCATGATATTTTGCAAATAATGAAAGGAGAAAAGGAGCAAAGGAGCCAGGCAGCCAGAAAGGACACCCGTTGAGAGAAGAGTCCGATGTCGGCCATTTCTTAAGTTGAAATGCGTGCCAGGCAGCAATTTTGCCATCTTTTGTGCCACTTAACCCCCGGCCACTTGCCATTTTCCATTTTCCCACTGGCCACTTGTCTCCTCCACAATAATTTAATTCTGCCCAACTCGGTGCTGATTAAATTTAACCATTCTATAAGCTGGCCAAACTGAGTGAGTGTATATAATATGCTTAATTAATTCATTTTGGCCAGAGAGTCAAGCGCTTAATCTGCTGCAAAACGACCGGCTATACCAGCTGCCTAAATATAGAAAAATCAATATTGCTCATACGCCAGGTGTGCGCTGACATGGTGGAACTAACGAAATTTCTTCGATTATTAGTTTCGTTGCAGTTGCTAGTGACAAAAAGCGCGACACACATGCAACATGAGACTTGGCTTTGTCCCCATTTTGGAAATTGAATTTATGGCCAAGACACACACTTACACACTCACACAGAGACGAGCAGCTGCTGCTGCCTCGACAGTTTACACATTTGGTATATGGCAAACTTTTCAACTTGGACCACTATACCATACCATCCCAAGTAACCCACCTAAAAAACCCCACCAGAGCCAAGGAACTTTCGCCATCAGCCCTGAACGTACATACAAGTTTATCTTAGGGCTTCTGCTCTTCGCATCAGCTATCTGGCTACGATTTTTTATGCCAAAAGTTCAAAGCAATTTTTAAAGATCAAAATGCCAAACGGACATGGAGCAGGGAACTGCAGGGAACTAGGGAAACTGAAGGGACTGATGGAACTTAAGATCCAAAGGACCAAAAGCCGCCCAGGGACCAAGGACCAGTGTCGCTGGAGAAGCCACAGAGAAATCATTTCATTTCAATTTATTTTTCCATTTCCATTGTTTTCACTCGGTAGTTACCAATGTTGTTGTTTTCGTTCCTAAATCGGAATTTGTTCTGCCGTGTTGGCATTTTCACACCGCACAGCACCCACATGGGGTTGGGCAATTTTCCAACAGAATTCGAAAATTACACAACATTATTCTGGCAAATTACACGTATTTGTCTCTATGGATGTTTGCTGTGCTGTGAGTAATTACGAACTTGGCTTTTACTTTGAATATTTTCTTTTGAAACTCAATAAGAAATAAATACAGAGGAAGTGCCAATGAAGTGTCTCAAATTGGATTAGGGGAGTGCCTTCGAAATTTGAGGTTTCAAAGTGATTTAAATTCACAAAGACACAATCTTTAAGATAGGACTGGGCTTAAAGCCAATTAAATTATAAGTGCTTTGATTTATTTTTAAACGCTCTGCATTTCATAAATCATTCTTTAAGAGTTCATTACTTAAATGTTGTTTATTTCTGGATTACCATGAATTTCCCGCAAACAAATCCCTGGCTTTACTTAGCTTTTGGCCCACAAAATTTGACACTATTTTCAGCTCTGCACAAAAATGCTGAACTCATTAATCACATGGCTTGCCTGCCCTTGGCACAAGTAAAAGAAAATAAACCTCACAAAGACTACAAACATTCCCTTTTAAGAGTAAAAAGTATGATATCCAATTTAAAGAAAATTAAATTAATTAATTATCAGAATTTTTCCTTTTTTTAGAAGAATAAGATGCAAAAGAACTTAAAAAATAAATAACAAAAATATATAATAAGTAAGGAGTTGTAGATATTATATCATTTTTAAGAAAAATTAAGTGAAATTAGGTTAATAAGCTATAAAAGTAAAAGTAACATCCAATCCATTGTCTCGGATTTTTTTTAAAATTTACAAATCATAAAATATGAAGGATTATAAAGACGAGTTTCCGTAATAATTTTACAAGTCCTAATGATCATACAAAATGATTCTAAAGCATAAAACACTGTATCTAAATATTTCATAATGTTTAAAGAACGTCTATTTAAATAACTAGGGATTATTCTTACTTTAAAAGTTTAAAAAACCTTTGCCTCCGTAATAATTATACAAGTCCTTAGGATCACACAAAATTATGCCAAAGAAGCTGCGGAATAAATAAGAAAAACTCGGCTTTCGAACGGGGGGCAATTATGAAAAATCTCACCAAAGTGGAAACTATGCTGAGGGTGTTTGTCAGCGGAAATTAATGCTGGCCGGGGCAGGACGACCAGGACCTGTTCTCGGCCAAAAGAAATGGCCACGGCAGCCTGAAAGGAGAATGGCGCCACTTACTTTAATTGCTGCCACGTTTGCCGGGGTTCCAAATGCACAAAGGAGCCCGAGTTGGGGCGTCTCGTGTAATTAAAGCACCACAGCGCACCGCATCCATTGCAACAATACAACCCGAACGGTGTTAAGTTGGCCAAAATGCTCCTGCATTGTTGGCTGACTGGCTGGCATTTAACGCTTTCGGTTACGAAATTTTCGGCACTCAATTGAGCACATTAACTGACAGGGCACGAAGACGACGGGCCCTATTGATCGCCGGCTGCCATCCATTCAGGAGAATTCCCCCCCTGAATTTTCCCCTTCTTTGACCTAACTTGGCTCATAATTGGCCCGGCACTAGCTAAGTGCCAACTGACCGGGCCATTTGGCTCCAGTTGCGTTTAGTTTAGTTACTTTTATACGAGTTTCCACCGCACTGGGAGCCCCTCCCCCCCAGTCCATGCCCCCATGGAGATGGGAAAATGGAAAGCTTATGAATGTTTAAACAACTTTCAATTGCGAGAAAAGTTTTCAATTTTCGTTGTAACTTTTACTCGCTCGCCATGGCAATGCATTAACAAACTTTAATTAATATGTGCAAGGGGGAGGGGGTCGCAGAGCCATCGATTCGATTTGAATGTTGCCTTTCAGCGTGTCTGAAAGTTTTCACTTAAATGTATACCCCGAGCAACAAGTTTTTCACAGAGACGTTGTGACTTCGTTAAGCACTGATTGAAAGAGATAATAGGTTTTCTGTGTCGTTCATTAAATTTGGATATGGATATTTTAAAAAGTAGACAATTCTGCAGAGCAGACTCTGAATATATCCCGTGTCAACAGCATACTTATAGATAAATACACTTGAAGAGCTGTGCTTAAAAAGATAGCCAGCTCAGCAACTTATCTCTTTTGGGTTATTGCTACTTTGTCAAAGTGTTCTTTTTCCAATGTTTGATGTTTGATTATCTTATTGACAAACTCCAGCGCACAACGCGATATACGATTACAGCTGAGTGTCTAACCCAAATACTTTGACGGCACTTTGCTGCTACATCGTGCCCACTTTGCATACGTTTGTCAAATCCAATCGAAAACCATTTCGCTCGACATTGCGGATCTGCTGAAATTCGAGACTCCCCGGGAATATATAACGAAACCAAGCGAAACAGGGCAGGAAACCCAGCTGCAGTTGGGCGATTAGCAAACAAGATGGTGTGAGCTGGAGCAGGGTGCGACTTATACAGAGGATAAAAATGCAATGCGTTGCCTGGCAACGGTAAAAATGTGTCACCAAGGGATAGAGCAGGAGTCCTTTGCCTGCAAAATGGATGCAGGATAACAGCATAGCAGTATACCAGTACAGCAGTACAGGATAGGGAGCACTTGGCCAGCGTTCGCTGGGAAAACGCAAAATGACTTTAAATTGAGAAATCGCCTTGTGTGCGCTCTGTTCGCTTCGATTCCGCTGTGTTGTCGGTACGTGCCCCTTGAATGCCACTCGAAAAAGGCAGGGGACAAATGAAGTTATGCAGTATTTTCATTGATTTCCTCTGTACAGGCCAATGAAGACTGGCGCCCAACGTAGGGGCAGGGAGCTGAACGTACTAAATGGCGCCCAACGTGGGGCGTACGTACTGGCGCCCAACGTGGGGCATACCATAGTGTACTTACTGAAATTAAACGTGCCAAAAAGGGAAGACAGTAACACCTTTAACTGCAACACACTTAAGCGGCAAAAATGAAGCCGAATCCCTGCCTTCCTGCCTGCCTGTCCACTGGAAATGCCTTCTGCACTCCGGTTGAGTGACTTGATGCCCTCGACATGCAGCGCAAATGAGTTGGCTAATGTGACAGGGAGCGAGGAGGGGATGGCCGAAATTTGGACGAAAGCCAGACGACCTGCGTGTGTGTGGCCCTGGCAGGTATGAGCGGGTTTTATGGCTGATTTGGCCGCTGGCAAGTGCATTCGCCACACATCAGCTGGCAAATGCGTTGCGCACATTACTCATACGCCCCATAAACAATTTAAAGGCGTGCATTAAAGGCCACACTCCATGCCACTGCCACAGCCACCACTTCCTGTGAGCGCAAAAACATTCAGCTCATTAAATATTGAACACGAATTTATGACCAACAGGAAAATACACAGAAACAGGAAAGCTATAGAGCAAAAGAGAAGGCGAATTGCAATTTGAATTTTGTCCTGTGAATTCGCTGAGTTTTCTACTCCCCCAGGAGAGGAGTGCGCCTCATTATTATTACGCAATTTGAATTTTCTGGAATGCATAAAAAATCATCCACAAGAGCACCACGCCTGGTTATTAATAAAATATATGCCTCCATCTCTATGTGAATTCGAAGAAAGTGCTAAACTCAATCAGCGGCAAATTCAATTTTCATCCAGGTTAGAGCCCGACAATCCACGTCCGTAATAAATTCAATTTATTTTAGTCTGCCTTTTGTTTTGTCTGGCTGCGCGAGAAATGGAACACTTACAATTAATATTAATTTGCCCTCGGTCCGCAATATTTAATGCAAAAGTTTTGTGCACGTCACTTCGCATCAGGCCAGAGCAGCCACATAATTGTCACTTAAAAGCTTTCACATGCTCTCTCTTTTTCACTTATTTATCTTGCTTTTCTGGCTCAATTATCTACCTGTCAGTTAGCATTACCACGTGAGATCTACAGTCAATATGAGAGCAGTTTTCGGAGGGAAAGTGGCAAGGCTCACAGCCTTTTCGACAAATCGCGGCTATGTGTTGAAAACATGTCAGTCAAATGAATTAGTTATTCATTTTAAAATGGCTCCATTACCACACTAATTAATTTTACCAATTTTACCGATTTCTCAATGTCTTCTTAACTTTTTTTATTGAATTAAAATGGTGTTTCAAAGAAGTGTAATTTCTAATTATAAAATATTAACTAGAGAAAACGCTATAGTTAAAACTAACGGTCGAAAAAAAATTATTGCCAAAGACAAGTTCTATCCCATTGAATGTCGTAATACCTGGTCAAGTTTACCTCACATTGATAAAACCAAATTTTTTCCGAAAATTAAACTTGAAGTTAACTTTCTCTGCGGATAAAAATCTAGACCGATAAACCCGACATTGAGAAATCGGATGTTACTTAGATTTTCTAATAACAGGTAAAATTAACCTTACATTGATAAAACCAAATTGTCTTTCTGAAAGTTAAACTTTAAGTTAACTTTCTCTGCGGATAAAAATCTAGAGCACTAACCCGACATTGAGAAATCGGATGTTACTTAGATTTTCTATTTTTCTTTCTTCTATCTATAATTTCTGGATACTGGTAGATCCCATACTTAGCATCTCTGTACCTTGATTTCCATCATTTATTTTCATGAAATATTAAGCACTACGAGCTTTAAATGAGCCAGCTTTAAGGAATTAGAAAGTTATTTAATCAGAATTAGCAGCATCGGTTTACATTAAATATTCCCTGAATTTCGCGAAGGCTTTCAAATTATTTCCGGGTAATTAGATGAACTCTCAGCCGGGGTCTCACCGTACCTGGGGCCAATTAGGAAACCTTTCCGATTACAAATTACAACTTCCACCCACTTTATTGCCAACGCAGCGTATGATTTACCAGTTGGCTGCAGTCTGAAGTGAAAACTCAAAGTTCCGAGGCAAAATTAATAATTAACTATTCGGGCTTTGGGGGAAAATTTACACGTTGCACGTCACAGGACCAGCTGTGACCGCAAGAGCTGGCCACAAAATGCCTTTTGCTTGTAAATTATAATTGTTATTAATTTTTGCCAATTTGCATGATGATGATGATCAATGAATTACATGGCTGGGGACCCGGCTTGTGTTGATTAAAAACTTTCCGAGCGACAAAATCGATGATGAAATTAAGTAAACAATCAATTTGCGTTCACCCTGAATGAATGGAGGAATTCCGCCTTAGTCGCTAAGCAAACACTAGTCCCCCTTCTGCCCCCCATCTGAAACCCCTCTGTGGGCCACCCCTGGTTTTTGGTATTTACGGGAATAATGAAAGTTGTTTCTGTCCCCTCATACAAGCAAAACACATTTCCCTTTGTTTCTGGGGGACTGGAGAAAGGTAATTCATTTGGTGGACGGTTTTGCTGTCCTGCTGTTTCTGCTAATAAAACATGTCCTGCACTGTGAGCAGTGTGATTAAGGATGTGACCCTAAGATATTTAGTTTGGAGGGACCCTTTCTTAGGTCCCCAGGCGATTTCTTCAAGTGTACACTGCCCGTCCCACTGTTTGGACAGCCTGTTGCTGTTAATACAATAAAATGGCAAACTCATCGCACTTAGCGAGGCCCAAAATATGGCGGGGTCCTTCTAGGTGGGGCCTTGAGACCCCACACCCCCTTATTGGCAATTGTCAACAGTCATTATGTGGCCCAAAAGTTTGCCATCTCGTCTAAATATAAAATTTCATCGCTGCACGTGTCAAACAAATAAAGAGGGAAATTTACAGAAAAAATAGTTGAGCAAAAGTTAGAATAAATTTGCTGAAAACTTTCCTTAAATAAATAATGAGCTAAAGGTAGTTTGTGTGTAAGTCAGGTGTTTACGCTCGGTACTTGTGGAGTATTCGTGTTTGTGCTTTATTTTCAAGAGCTTGATATGTTAGAAATTTACTTACCACCAACGTAAGATTGTAAATAGGAAATATATTACAAACTCTATATTCTAGCAACATCAGTTATTTATTAAATGAGGTATATAAAAGTATGCTATATAAAAATAATCTCGCCTTTTAGAATGTGATATGCATTCAAAATATTTTGTTGCATACTTTTAGGCGCCCTTCTAAAAGATTTTCAGATTTTCTGAATCCCTAACATATTCAAATGTGAAATATAATAACTAATCAGATATTGAATCATATTTTGTTGCATACTTTTTGGTACCTTTCTACAAGATTTTCAGATTTTTGTTATCCTTACCATATTATCAGAGCTAACTCCCGCGTTTCACTGCATAATAGGGGCAAATGGGATTTGTACAATTAAAATCCCACTTTTCGGCTAAAGTCCGTGTGAATCCCAACAGGCTGAGATGGTGTGCCCCTAATTATTCATTCATGAATTACAAAAATAAATTGTTGACACGAGCCAAAGGCCCCGGGCGCGAACTCTCGGCCTATATCTTGGCTGTCAACATGTGGCCCGAAGCCATTTAAGCCAAATTTGGGTGGCGCAAACTGCTAAGACGGCTCAGGCATGTTTCGGGGCTCATGTAAATAAATTAAGCGGCTTAGAATTGTATGCGTAGAGCATGGCTTCTTGTTAGCCGCTTGTCGCGCTTTTTGTAATTAAAACACTTGACGAGGACTTGAAAGGCATTTGTCAGAGTGCGAGTGTGGGAGCCTTTTGTTGTGGTAACAAGGAAAAAGTGTTATAAACCACTAGTATGCTGGTAATTATTTTTATGCCATGTAAGCAAATTTCTCTTGTAAAATTGCTGATATACCGCAACTTAAATAATTTAAAAAACATTTTACATGCCACCTACCATACTGCGGCTTTATCCCCACTCAACAATATATATTTAAGAGCTTCGCTCTGGAAGATGAAGAGTGCCTGGCGACTCCTCTGCATAAATTATGCAGTTTCGCATATCGATGGCATTTTTAATTGAACTACCACGCACCGAACTCGACCACAACCCAATAAAAGGGCAGAAAACGATAAAAAAAAAGCGGTAACTGAGTTGCTCGAGTTCGTAAAACGGTTGAAATTTAATTAAATCAATGTGTTGATTTAATTGGAATGCGGTGTCAGTGACAGTGGCCATCTTATAATACGCCTCGCCGTGCAATGCAATTAATTTGCATGATAACGCACCTTGCCAACTGCCACAACTTGACCCGCGATCAATAATTCTCTGTATCCTTAGAGGAATGAGGTTGTAAAGGGATTCACCCTCATTTCTTGTCAAATATTTACAGGACTAGCCTTTTGCAATTTTTCAAATGGCTAGGATAAATGGAGTAGATCTGGATAGCCTACTTTTGATAGTGCTCTTAACTTGTTATTCATTAGTAATATTTCTTCGTGTTTGGTAAGGATGTTCACATATCGCTAACCAATCAATAAAACAAAAATAAAAATCCAATTTTAGTTTTCCTCTATACATGCCCTATCGGTGTTTGGCGTAAAATCGAATTGTTGTAAGCCATTAATCCGAAAGTCAGGCAACTATATGCCATAGTAAAATATGAACCGACTTCGCGTTGACAGGCTGTCCATCAAACTGTCTCTTGTTTCTTCGGCTGCAATATGTCGAACGGTTTGTTGGTCTGTCTGTGTGTTTGTCCATTTGTTTGTTTATTTGGTCCTTTGTTGCAACAACAAGACCAACAACGAAACCGGGTCGAAAAAGGACATTTCTCTGTCCCTCCTGCCACCAACTATCTGTGATTGTCATGCACTTAGCCAGGCCTGACATAAGCCGACTCGTTTCCCGTTCCTTCGGCTGGGAAAGCTGTCAGCCGTAAATTTACGATTTTCCAGCATGGGGAGGGGGAGTGAAAATGGTGTTGTACGTTATAAAGCATAATAAAAATCTTGATCCGCCCCAGTAGAAAATTTCAATTGCATTCTACGCTTGGATAATTGATGAAGACCCTTCCACTTCGACTTGACTCTTTAAGCTTTTTCCTGAAATGGCTGCAAGTCATTCAGCTTTATTTTGCTACTTCCCCTTTTTCAGCGATTATATTTTCTCTTATTTTTTTATTGCATCTGCATTGTCCTGTTGCCATTTCCCGTCTAACATCCCTGGTCGAGGACCTCCACCGAGTGGAGGCGGCGGAGGTGGCCGGGCCAGGCCAATATTTGACTTAAACAGAACTTTTTCCTAGCTCGGTGTTCGGGAGGAACAAATTCCAGGAACAACGGCAGCCCTGCGGTTCTTTACTCTTCACACCCCAACCAACAGGCCCCCTTCTCCCCATATCTTTGCCAGTCTGTTGGCCTTTGCATCCCACACTGCGAGGAAAAATGTTGCCAAGTCTTGGTTAATACAAAATTAAAGATTATCTAATGTTTAAATAAGCATAAATATTGATATTGTGCACCATCGATAATACGAGCTATCGTTAAGTCCAAGCAAAGTCCAATGCTGAACATTTATATTGAAAACACCTTATATATCTAAACATACTTATTCATTCCATAAAAATACCATACACATCATGTAAAATTTAATATTTTGCTGAGCGGTATTGAATTTGTTTCCAAAATTTTAAAACCATCGATAGAATCAATAGTGCTATCGATCGTTTTAAAAGCCACTAAAACTCATTTCCAAAAGTTTTATCAAACGACAATTTCGAACGAAGCAACCCGTAGAGTTTTAGAAAATTTGCCGCCTGACAATTCAGTACGACAGTTGGCATTAATAAAACTAATTTCAAGCTGTAAAGATCTGTCCTGCATAAAATATTATTTTCTCACGATGCCGCGTCCGTCGAAAGTCGAATTTTGTGAACCGTCGAATAGGGAATCGCATGATTCAGAGTCAGACGAAGAGTTTATGAAATACTTGTTCAGAGATGAGATGCTTAAGATGATCAACTCAGACGAAGAGCCCTCAACAAGCCGCAAGACCAAGAAGTCCAAGAAGTCCAAGAAGGCCAAGAAGAAGCAAAAAAAGAGTTCCAAGTCTTTTGAGAGGTAGGAACGGAATAGATAATTTAATTTCAGGCTGAGCAGCTATAACGTTTTCCATACTTATAACATGGGGTTTTTTTTTAGGGCCCTGATGACTACAGAAGATCCAATTGAACCCTTACAAACGGATACCTCCTTTGATCTTTATTCGTCCTGGTAAGCCGTCTTTAGTAAATTAGCCAAATAATTCAATTTTCCAACCATTTCAGGGCTCCGATCTTACAACCGTCGCCCGACAAGTTTTGTCTGCAGGGCAACCAGGAGAACTTTGAACCCATGGATATTAGATCCGTGGAGGAGCTAATGCCACCACCAGGATCATCTATAGTATTCAAGGCCCAACCATTACCCACCCAAAAGAAGGCGAAACAGGTGCCGGAAGTACGCGGGTCAGTGGCAAAACCATTATTCGATAGAGAGTGGAGAAATGACCACAACTATCCTCCCAAACCACCCGTGGAGTCCAATCTGGATTTGTTCGATCCCAATCTGCCGTCATCATCGCATATATGGAAGAACTACGAACGCCTAAAGGAGGGTTCGGTGCTGCCGTCGGAAGCGGAGTGGCCATTGAGTTGTATGGCAGGTCAGGAGGAATCAAAATCTCCGCCCTCAAAAGCCAAGGAATACCATATGCCCGAGGCATCTTCCTCGAATGCCTCTGAACCCCAAGAAAATAGTGCTGCGGACGGCCTTTTCGACTGGGATGAAAATAGCAAATGGTTTAAGGATAACTCTCATCTTCGTGTTTGCAACGATCTCCCCTTTGACTTTAGTCGCTTGAGTATTGGTCTGGAAGAAGAAAGGGCCTTGGACGATTGGATCAAATCGGAGGGCCTCAACAACCCTTACAGCGACATTGAGGAATTCAATATGCTGCTGACCTTAGCTAGGGACTATCCGAAAACTCATGACGTCCTTTTTAAGGTGTTAAAGCCGCCACCTCCTCTCCCCAAAAAGCCAAAGGTAGTTAGAAAAAGGCCTCGTGTGGCATTCGAAGTAGGAGATCGCCAAGTTGATGCTGTGGAGCCGAAGTCCGTAAAACGAGTGCACTATGAAGTGGTCCCAAAAACTCTTCCCAAACTCGGCATTCCAAAGACAACTGCAGTAGATCCAGTTAAAGAAAAGCAACTGACCGAGTCTACGCCAGAACGTATCGAATCGATCCCACCAAAGCCCCGTGATGATGCAGCAAATAAGGAGTGGCTCCAACAATGTAGTAAAATCATCTTCCAACAACTGCAACTTCTAATAAGCGAGAGTACCAAGACAACATCCAAAGAACCAGGAGCCACTGGTTTCAGAAGCGGGATAGCCACAATTCGCCTCGAGGACTTAGACGATATCCTTGACCAAAACAAGTCGGAATTTAGGAATCCGCAATCGAAACGACTCGCCTCCAAGTGGACACAGCAATATGGTTTCAAGTCGGTCGAGCACTTGCGCAGATTGTTGGTGCTTATACCCATACCAGTTCGTCAGGAGCAGTGCCTCCAGAAGATCAGGATACTCAGACGTCCCACCAAACCTAAAAGCGATCCTTTGTCCCTCAGCATCGAATTGAAGTTCTGTAGGCTGTTTTGCACCCTTCAAATGAACACACATATGTATCCTGAGGTAGCTGCCATGAGAGGGGAGAATGCCGTCTACAAAAGCAGTATTGGTGTGATTGAAGTGCGAACTGGGTCCTCTCAGATAGGCTGGGTATGGCCTAATGGCACTGTGATGATTGTGAACGGAAGAAGCAATGAAGAGTTGGCCGAAACCCTACACAAAATCGTGGCCAAGACCATGGGGAATATGAATTTCAAGGCCGATCCCAGCCACAAGCTTCTACACCTACGTCTCTTTTCCGGTGCCAACTTCCCCTGGAGCGTTAATTTGGAAGAGTTTAGTAGGATCCACACTTTTTCTGCACAACCATTCCTTCGTGAGGCTAACTTCGTTTACTATGTGGACAAGGAACTGCCCGGGGTGTCAGCTAGACTCTATGAGTCGGGAGTGTTCCAGGTCTTTGCCATGACCACGGATGAGGCGGATGAAATGGTGAAGCGACTGTACTACTGTTCGTCCAGTTATCGAAAGCCCCAAATTTATCAGAAATCAAAGTAAAAACAATACGTACAAATAAAAAGATACTTCGATGCTAATGCAGTTGAGTATAGAACTCGTTTTCATAATTCTAGTAAAGCCCTTGTGGACGGCAGTCCACGTAGTGACGAATCGCACCGAGAGTGTGGGGAGGCAAAAATTAAAATCTGTTACTATGCAAAAAGTGTTTTGAATTTCTTTGGAACTAAAGGTCATAGTATCTGGTCTAAGAATTAGCACCTAGCGGAGGGAACTGGAACTACTCACCATCCCAAAATATACTTAAAAACACTTGTTTATTAAAAAAAAAATACTCAACATCTCATGTAAAATTGAAATATACTATCGATATTGGATCCAAACCATCGATGTTTTTCAAATTGTTAATTATAAATAATGTGAAACAACTCTAAAACCCTCGTTTTTTTTTTATTAAAATAATTTCTAGTTTAACTATATTTTGCTTGTGTGAAATCCTCTGACAAATCTTTTTTCAGTGTTTTTTAAGTGCATTTACACATCAAATGAGTTTTTGGCCGGCTGTCCGACTGACGGTTTTAATGCGGTTAAGTGACCTGACCCAGCCACTTCTGCTGGTCTGGCATATTTTGACAGCAAATTGACCGACAAACATGAATACTAATGGCATGCGAATGCAATTTAGCGTTGGTTTAATTATTTTTGCATTGCCAGTGAAATTAGCCATGATTCGAATTGAACGCAATGCCCAACGGAATTCTCTCTGGAAAAAAGTTAATGTAAATATATGGATTTTCGTTCTAATGATTCCATAACCCTTAACCAGTGGCTTTCAACACTCTGTCGAATGAAGATTGACATGCGAGGCGTCCATTTCGCTGGCTTTCCCTTGGGGAAAACACAGTCCAATCAGGAACACACACACACAAATACACACCTTCACCGTCACACAATGTCAATCAGCAAATAACAATCTGACAAATGCAAATAGCGGAAATTCAAATTGTATGCGATATAAATAATTCACATAGAAAGTTCTTCGCATACATATGAATACTTGTGGGTACAAAGTTTGGCCTGTGCTTTCAGCTTTTCGCCGATTTTTCCGCTAGCTGTTACAATTTAAATTTTAATTAAATGATAAAACGGCGAAAAGAGCAGAATCGTAACTTTAGCTGCGGGATTTCGTTTATTTTTTACCCGTTAAGTCGGGCATAAAGGCAGCGCGTAAGTTGAGAACTTAAACCCCTTCCGAGGCTTTCGACAGCGACGGTTCACGTGACGCATACGCCCTGTGGCCCCATGTGTGTATCCCTTTTGTGGGATTGTGTCACCTTACACAGAGTTTTTTTTTTGGATTTTTTTTCTCTGCCCAATTTTCTTTTACTGACGTCAATCGATTGACTTTCAAGAGCGTTTTCCCTTCCGATCTATACTTTCCCTAATTGCAGTTGACCAATAGTTGGACACACCCGAAGCCGACTCATCAATAACATCAATCGTATCATACGCATTTATTATTCCGTAATTAATAGTCGCGTTCCGGGAATCGGGACATTCTTAAATGCGGTCAAGGTTGGCCTTTGGGAACTCCAGTACCCATATGTCGACTTTATGCTTGGTTCCCACACTCAATCCGGCATTGGTTGTCGTAACTTCTTGGCTGGGGGCCCTTTGCCTGGCTATCATAAATGCCTGGCATATCGTCACATATGTCATTTGTGCCCCCTTTACGACTGGGTTTTTATTGTCATTGATGAGGGGCCCGATAGTCAAAGGCGGCGGAATGATGCAACCCACCTTGAACTCACGTTTAAAGCTTTTATTCAAGACATTAGAATGTGCTGTAATGGAGTGCTTGGTACTTAAGATACCTGATTTCATGTTTTAAATGTGTTTTTAATTATGCAAATAAAATAAACTTCCACAGAAATACAGCAAAGGAAATTATTTCCAGCAAAGCGATACAAATTTTTGTGTTAAAGATAGGATGATAGCATTTTTAAACGACATAGACTATTAGACAAATAACATTTCTGTTTCATTAACTTTTTTAGCATATAGTGATACTAGATAAAACTATAATGAAACATATGACCTATTGATATCTACACCTGAGATAGTCCAGAAGTACTTCTGCGATGAAAACACAAAAGGCCAATGACCAACCGGACAAAAGTATTTTCCAAGATCCTGTGTAATCCTGTAAATTCCGGGGTATAAATCTTGTCGTAAATGGCAGCTTTTCAAATCGGATAGTCCTTGTTGACGACAATACTTCTTGAATCGCTTCGTCGAGCCAGTAAGATAGAAGTCCTGCACTCCAGACCCGGCTTGAATAATCCTGAAGGGCAAATGCGTAAATGGAGTTCTGTGGCAGAACGGTAAAAACGGAGACTCCATTGACCAAATCGAGTTTCGGGCTCTTACAAAAGGCCTTCCGAGCGGAGTGTTGTTGCATCTTCGTAAAAGGATCCCCAACATGGGTGAATGCCTGATAGGCATAGGTCGTATTAAAAGATTTGATCATATCCACTTGCTCCTCGCTTCTTACAATCCAGGTATTTGTCAGATACTTTGACAGTATCTTCGGATCGATCTGCTGTTGAATCGTCATGAAAATGAGGCGGTTGGTGACCACAGTTAAGTTACTTTCGTACAGCTCTTGAAAGTTCATGACGTGTCGGTACTGGGGACTCGTGGTCAACAAAGTGCTGAGTTGGGCGCTTAGCATGCTGGCCAATATAACGCCTGTGAAACTCATCACAATTGTAAGTTGCCCCACGACGGATCGAAGACGATTCCCCATTGGAATCGACAAGGACAAAATACATTGCAGCACGCGAAGATTAACTACCAAGTTTTGAAATTGAAAACGGTAATGGTGGTGCTCCAATCGATCGTATAGTGTTCTCAGGACAAAATCCACAATCCCTAGCAAAATGTAAGATCCAATAAAGGTTATGTGGTTTGCAAATCCGAACAAGATTCGAAACTTTTCAAACATCGTCACTTCCTGTCCACAGGGCACTACAATGGATATGGATACAAAGCCCAGAAGGGCCTCTGTCCTACTTTCGTTCGGGTGTCTTAAGTTTATCATCTGGCCCGTTATTGGAAGATCTAACTCGCCCCTAATTGTCTTATCGATGATTTCCACTTGGGAGGTACTTTCGTCCAGGTATATCTGCTGTTGCAATGTGATATTGTGCTTACGGGCAAAATTCTTAAAGAACTTATAAACAAAGCCAGCGTGTCTTTTTCGACCCGTTTTGGGTTCGATCAAGTAAAAACTTCGTGGTGGCACCAAATCGTCATCCGTCAGAGCTATTTTACCCATAAAGTTGCGCCAGGGAACGGGAAAGATTTTGTTTTCTCCTAGCAGATTGTCAATCACATGAAACGATGGCTGGGGAAATGGATATAGTCGCAGAGTTTTTAAAGATTTTTCAATCATCAATATATTAAGAAACATATACTTTTCTGTTTCATAAGATATGTCTTCAATAAACTTCTTAGAGAATTTGAACTCCAGAAAAATCACAATCCTGACCTCCCTCATATGATTAAAGTTGCCGGCCAGTGCTGGAAGTAATATTATATCCTCTTCAGATTCCATGTACACCATAGCCAGAAAATTCTTATTGTAGTGGTCCACCAACTCAATTCTTTGATTTTCATCCAGACGTATTATAGGCCAGACTAAGGGATACAGTCCTTGAAGAAGGTCCTTTCCATGAATTTTACTTTGCATTAGCAGAAGAGTGGATATCGATTGTTCTTTGTGAACGGCTGGAAGCAAATTGCCTAAAAACTCCAGTTGCTCCATTGAAGCTACTGCTCCACTGACTATTATCCAAAATAGAAGTTTAACTTTCCTCATGATTTTCGGTTCTGAACTGACTTTACTGGCGGAGTTCGTTTTACTTTTAAACCCATATCCGTGGATCTTTGCACTAATGTTTTTTAAATCTGACACCCATCTAAAGTGCTCTGCAAGCCCGTAATCAATTCTGGCATTACGTTTACGCACTTTGACCTACGATTTGATATATTATATGCAAGTTCGTATATGTTCACCCCCTTCTACAAAGCAAAGGCAGCAAGAACTAATTGTTATATCATGGTAATACTAGAAAAGGTTTTTAAGAAAATTACATTTTATCGAGCGAAGATTTATAAAAACGATGCAAAGATTTATTTTTGACAGTTGTTTATTGTATTTGTATTTGTGGGGATTATAAACATTTTGTGTATGGTAAATTTATATATAATGTGCATATACTGTGCATTGTTAATATATATTCTTTTAATACATTTTTGTTTAAATTATTTTTTAGATTTATGTATTCCTCATCCTTCTGCCTATACCATGAACAAGTAATTCCCCGATGAAAACACAAATCGATAGAGTACAACCTGCTACGATAACTTGCCAACCGCCTTGATGGTCCCTGAGGTTAAGGCCTTGATATCCTGTAACTATCGGTAGCTTGCCGAATCGAACATGCCGCATTGTGGACGTAAGTTCATCGAGCGCTACGTCGACCCAGTAAGTTATAAGTCCAGAACTCCAGATATCAAGGGCAAAATCCCGTAAAGCCAGTGCGTAAATAGAGTTCTGCTGCAGGACCGCCGTAAAGGTGAGTCCGCTGACCAGATCCAAGTTGGGGGACCTACACAAAGCCTTTCGGGTGGAGTGCTTTTGAAGCATCGAGAAAGCATCGTGTTTGTACGAATATGTCTGATAGGCATAGCTTGAATTCAAATCACTGATCATCTTCATTTGTTCCCAACCACTCACTACCAAGATATTGGGCAAAAAACTTGACACAAACTTGGCATCCATCGCCAAGGTGATTGTATTGTAGTTGAGGTTGTTGAAAACCACAGTAATCTTACTATCGCGCAGTTCCTCAAAGTTCATGATATGTCTGTACTGGGGCTTCATGGTCAGCACAGTGCTGGTTTGGGCGGCTATGATGGTAGCCAGGATCAGGCCTGTGAAGCTCATCACCATTGTAATCTGTCCCATGAAAGATCTAAGGCGATTCCCCAGAGGAATCGACATGGACAGGAGACAACGCAGCACCCGCAGGTTAAAAACTACGTTAAGCAGTTTAAAACGAGTTGGATTTCGATTGATTCTTTCATCAAGGGTCCGAAGTACAACATCCATGGTGCTCAGCAGAATATAAGATACGAAAAAAATGATCGACGATGCATATCCGTAGATAAGACGGAACCTTTCAAGCAATGACAACTCTTTTCCACAGGGCACTACAATTGACAGAGCCGTCATTCCCAAAAGAGGCTCAATCCTAGATCCGTTGGGATGTCTGAAGTTGATCAACTGCCCTGTTATTGGCAGATCTATCTCTCCCCCAATGGTCTTCTCTATGAGCTCCGTTTGACGCATACTATCATTCAGGGCCCTATGCAATTGCAAAGTGATATTGTACCGGATTGCAAAGTTCTTAATTATTTCGTAACTACAGCCACTGATTTTGGTGCGACCTGTTTTTGGATCTGTCGTAAGGAAACTTCTTGGTGTCACCAAGTCGGGCATTGTCACAGCTACTTTACCCATAAAGTTGTTCCAGCGAAGTGGGAAAATTTCGTTTTCTTTCTGAAGTTCATCAATCACTTGGAACTTGGGCTCAGGAAAGGGAACAAGCCGTCGAACTTGTAATGCTTTATCTATAACCAAGAGATGGAGGAACTTGTGCTTAGTAACCGCTTGCGAGAATTCTTCGAGAACGTCTTTAGAAGAATTAAACTCCAGCCAAATTACAATCCTCGCCTCTCTGATATGATTTAAGTTGGCGGCCAGTGCTGAGAGTAACATTATGTCTTCTTTGGATTCCATATAAACCACAGCCAGAAATTCCTTGTTGTAATGGTTCACCAACTCTATGCCTTGAGTTTCATTCAAACGAATTATAGGCCAGTATAGGGGGTATAGTCCTTGAAATAAGTCATTTCTTTGAATACCCCTTTGCAGAAGAAGTATAGTTGAAAAGGCTCGTTCTTTGTGCACTGCTTCCAGGAATTCCTTAAGAAACTGAAGATTTCCCATTGCAAAAGCCACTCCACTGACCAACAAATAGAATAAAATGCTAACTTTCCTCATTTCCTATGGCCCTTTGGAACTCAACTGATTTCACTGGCGGATGTTACTTTCGCTTTTAAATTCATAGCCGCACACCTCAGCACTAATGTCATTTAAATCTAAACCCCATCTAAAGTGCTCTGCAAACCCGCAATCAGGCTAAGCATTACGTATACGCACTGTAATCCGCGAACTGCGTTTTCATATTAAAATTAGCATGAATATTAAATTCAAATTACTTTACACCGCGGCAACCACCAGGTTTTGTACATATTTAATTAAAGGCAGAGCACATTTGAGGGGAGGGGGTTGTAACATTTGGAAAGTGGGGGAAACTTCCGAACACACATGTTTATGTCCTGCCATACGGTTAGTGCTTTCATTCCGGTTTTGGTTACTTTCCCCATAAAACCCACTCGAGCTGAAGCCCCTCAACGACATAATTTACAAAGCGCTTTGGCAGCTGTCTACCTCTGTCTGCAGGCTCCAGTCTTCTGGTTCCTGGCTCATGGCTCCTGGCTCTTCTGGCTCCTGCTCCTGTTTCTGCTCCTGGCTCTTCTGTCGCCTTACCGACACTTCCGGTTTTCCCCCTTCTCGACCTCTTATCGCTGTCAATGTCAGTTTGTGTTTGTGGAAGGAAGGAGCAGTCGCAGCAGCCGGAGGAAGTGGAGCATTTCAAGCGCATTTAATGCGCATAATGTCAAATGCAACAAAGCAACAGAAACAACAAACCTCGGTACAAAACCTCAAATGGTGGGGCAAAAGCAGGAATTCAAAGGGGTTTTGGGTATCGGACCCCCAGCTGGGGTTTTGTCTTTCCAAAAAGGGCAAAACAACCCACAATATTTTTCAGCAAGCTCAACCAGTGGAGTTGAAACGATTTCCTTTATCTAATTATAACTTTAGGTCAATTAGAGACTGTTAGGTTTTAGAATAATTAAAGACAAAGAGTTAAGCGGAAGAACGTTTTACGGGCATCTAAAAAATACCAAAATGTAATACGACACGGCATAAATATTTTTAAATATAAAACAATTATAACTTTGAGCTATTATCCTTCTAAGAAATCCCAACTAATCCTTTTCAGCTAGCTGGATAAACAAGTTGATATATTGTGGAGAAATGCCTTATTTAAGTCGACTAAGCAAAAGTAAAAATAAATGTTTGTATTTACAGATACTTCCATATTTATTTAGGTACCCAGTTTACTTTTTTCTTTAATAAGAAATCTAATGCACTATATAATTTAATATCATGTCATTCGAGTATATAGGCGTTATTCAAAGCAACAACTTAATATGTGAAAAGAATGTTCTTGGATCAAGTCTTGAAACAATTTAGTCATTGTATTATTTGAATGAATTGTTACAAGTGTGATTTTTGTTTCCATTTGCAATTGCAAGCCGCGAAACACTCACATTTGAGACCTAATATAAATAAAGGTCTACAAAACATTATTCGATATATAATTTAATATCATATCATACGAGTATATGGGCGTTATTTGAAGCAACAACTAAATATGTTGAAAAAATGATTTTGGATCAAATCTTGAAACAAATTAGTTATTGTATTATTTTATTCCATTTGCAATTGCTAACCGCGAAACACTCACATTTGATTCACGTTTTATTCACAATGGTGTATACTGTCGTATTTTTCAAATACTAAGACAACTTGTTAAGCATTTTAGACCATCCCTAAGGGCTCTGCAGCTCCTAACCCTTCCCAAAAACTACTTTATTTTTATTTCACCATTTAAAACCTTTCCCCATCACTTTCAAGATTCCCGAGTGCGCGACCAAGCCCAGATAAATACTGAGGGCAAACTACTTTTGTGTGTGGTGAACGTTCAGATAAACTTTTATTGATATAAAAAATTACCCACGTAGAACAAACAAAACGGTAAGGCAAAACGGGAATTGCTAAGGACAACAATTCGAGTTTATCTAAGTCAGAATGCGGATACGAATGCGGATACGGATGCGGATGCGGATGCACACTTGAGTCGAGAGCGGAAATACACTTGAATGTTACACGGTGGTTCCAACGTACCTTTGGCATTTTTCCGGTCCCAATGAAATTTGGGTTTAGGTAGTACGGGGGTTTCTATGGGGTTTATGATTTTGTGCCTTGTCTGAGGATTTTTATTGAGGCTCTGCTTCTTTTCGCTGGCCCAGAATGAGGCCCAAAGGACTGCGGATTGCGCGAGCGCGGCATTGGCAATAAATTCGAGGCGAGAACTTTCGGGTTGGTCGGTTGTCCTCAGGTGGATGCCACGATAAATAACGGCTCACGGGTCAACTGGCTGGTCACAGCCTCATTTATTTATGCACATGGATTCGCAGACAGCGCACAAATTCGCACGGAAATTTTATTGCCACTTATATCATTCGGTGTGTGAAATTAAATATTTAACCTGAACTAGCTGATTTATTGCATTTCGTCTTGATGATTTATGCAGGGCCATGTGGAAAATAACACAGCAGACTAGTTTGGCTACGATTTATGGCAGAGTTTTTCTTCTTTACCGATTTAATTACACTTATTTTACTAATCTCTATGACTAAAAAATTTAACTGCCACCCAGGGCAGATGCAAATTTAATTAGCACTCCGGCGATTTCCGTTACCAAACAGAATCTCGCTTTTTTTGGGAAAATGTCATCGACACGACACGACACGTTACGACACGAACAATTGAACGAAACTCACGAACGCACTCACGAACACTCGCCCTCTCGCTCACTCTTGCGGCTGGGAGGCGGGGGGAAAACTCTAAAGAAAACTCTGGCTTCGGCGTCGAGCGTTCGAGGGAAATCACATGTTTCATGTGCAAAGTATAAAAACAAACTGAACTGAATGCCGAGCGTGGAAAGCCGACAAAGCCGACCGACTAACATATATTTTCCCAATTCCGATTGAACTAACATTGCTGTTACTCGGGAGGATTTTCCGAGTGCAAAAGAAAAGCTCAAAGCTTCTCTGTTAACCAAGTTAACAGAGCGTCCCACAATTGGGCCATGTTAAGTTGGTTAGTTGGTTGCTTTTTTTTTGGGCCAGGTTCCCACATAACTCGCACTTGTCGGCGGGGGAAATGGGAAATAGAAATAAAGATAGACAGTCGTGCAACCTCAAAGTGCAATTATCGCTTGTTTACGACTGGCACACAGCTTCAGTTCGCTGCGATTCGTCACCGAACTCAGTTCGAGATTCGAATTTCAACTTTGCGGCCCGCCACAAATCACTTATGGAGCCATAATTAAATTCACGCCCAGCGGCAACAGGTGAGTGGCAGCCGCAATAAGCTCAGCATTAAGCCACTGAAATGAGAACAGCAAACCATAAATTCCTGGTCAGAAAAGGCAAACTTCAATAGCACTTGGAAGTCACTTAAAGAATCTATGGGTTCAAAATAAATGTAAAAATATATTTTTGTTATTAAAAAATTCAAAGAATTTTAATATCTGTCTAGGAAAATCATACAAAATGTAAGTCATACTCAACCAAGTATTTCTTAATTTTCAAGCCAAGTACTATTCAGAAACTGTTTCTTTTTACCTCCATTTCAAGCAGATCTATTAAAAAACATTATAAAGACTTGAACTTTTTATTACTTTTAATTAATAAACATGAAGAATTGTTCAATTATACTTCCAATTTATACCAGTTTCAAATTAATATTATATTTTAACATTCACATAACTTTTTTTAAAGTAAACTAACATTCAAAATGTTTAATAACAGTAAGTTTACCTAGTTTTTCATTCGATTTTGAATATATGATAGGACTTGTTCAAAATCAAGAAAAAAACAAAATTTTAAATCATTCATTGAATCTAAATTTAAACATTGAGTACAAATTATTGAAGAAAAAATAAATTTTGAAAGCCTTGTTAAATTATTTAGTTCATAAAAATTTTTATCCCATCCAATCTGCTTAAATATTTCGTTATCTTAAGTTCCATTGGTTAAACTTGATCAAATATTTAAAGAAGTTTCATCACCTGACGAACCACGTTTATTATTATGCAAGTTTTTAGGGATCACTATTGATATTTAAACTACTTAACCTTATACATACAACACCTTCTTAACCGATAAATCATATTTAAATAAGTGATATTTAGTAATCCGGAAAAGAAAACAAATAGATGCTTGGCCTGAGCCCAAGCTGAGCCAATAAATCAATTCCAACCAAAGTCGGTGGGCACACAGGACATTTAAGGTTGGCACAGGCATTTCTTCTCTGAATTTCATTACGAATGCCAGACACAGGGGCACGCAGCTGGATGGCCACTCAAGCCAAACAGTTTGCCAGGACGTAAGGACGCAAGGATCCAAGGACCCGAGGACCGAAGGACCTGTGGTCAGGGGGGGCAGGACTCAAGTAGCCAGGAAGGGACAACGAAACAAGGCAGCTGCCTCCAGTCAAGTCAAGTGGAAAGTGGTCCTGGTGACAGGGGCCAAAAGTGTGTTAACATACTAATATTCACTTTGCATCTTAATCGTAGTTGTCCTGGCCAAAGGATGTTATTGCCTGGGAATGGGGCGAATGGCATGAGAGTCTGTACGGCAATTTCGATTGCCGTCTGTAGTTGATATAGTCATCGTTATGTGGACATATTTATGCATGTTTGGTAAATGGGGAGGCAATTTGTGGAGCGATTTGACAGCTATGAATAGAATATAATAGGGAAGAAAGATATTATCCAAAATGGTGGGTAGAAATGTGACAAAAAAGAGTATCCTTTAATAAAGTGATATATTTAAGAGCCTACGATAGATTTGTTGGTATGGATTAGTCGTATGCTAGTTAAAAAATAAAATCATCAATTATAGTTAAACTATCATATCCCTTAACATTACTGTACAGCGCCATCTGTTGCTCTTTTGAAGAAAACAAAAGTCTACAAAATAAGCTTCGCAGAATCAAATAAAATGAAAGCTGTATAGCCGTTAAAGGAGCAACGCTGACAATGTCCTTTGAAGCTCTCGTTATCTCACTTTCCCCACAGCTTTCTCTCGCCCATTTCTTCTCCCTCTCTAACCGTCTCTTTCTAGGCATTTTCCCTCTCTGTCCCGTGAGCTTGAACTGCGAATAACAAGGTGAAAGCATAAGCAGCACGAACACGTGGTTGAATAGAAAGTAAGAGAAAGTTTGATGGTTTTTTACCAAAGAGAAAGGTTGGTTAGGAAAATCTCAAAGAGAGAGAAAGGGTGGAGCAGGGGAAATTGAGGGAGGAGGAGGAAAAACCCAATGGGAAACATGTGCGAACCATTGCCAACTTCTAGGAGCGGGCATTCCTTAGACACAAATCGCATTCAACTGACATTTTCGTTGGCCCTTTCTCGCTTTTCCTTGCTTTTACCAGCTTTTCCTGGCCCTTCTATGGCCCCAGTTGACCTCCGATGGCCTTCACTGATGTTGCAACTGCCCTCCTGCCTAATTGGCAATTTCAGAGAAAGCAAATGGTGTTGGCCATTTATGTTGCCTTCCTGTTGAACTGGGATTAATGAATTTAACACACGCACACGCAGCTGAATGTGGTAAATTAATTTAAAAATCTAGGCAAAGCCTAAATTACCCATTTGTGGGGACTTGTTGCATTAATTTTTTAATGAAACCTTATGACGCAACGAGGCGTATACGTAATGTGCGCAATGACGCCCGCCTGAAAGTATGCTGCCAAGCACTTTAACCATATTTTCCTCTGAATGGTTTTATCCTTGTGGCTATGAATAGCGCGAATCGCTTAACGCTTGCTGAGAGGGGTTTTCCGATGGAGTGTGCTTGGAAAATGTTATTAAGTTGTTGAGCAGGGCAACGCGCTCTCGATTTATTGAGTTTACTTGCACAGCAAACGCATTGCGAACTAGTTTTCCAAATTGCCAAGTCCATAAATTCAAGGCAACGGAATTTGTCTGCTTCATAATCAGATGAACTGCGAAATTTAATGCATTATTCATATTTGTCGCAAAATTCATCAGCAATAAAGCTGCGCAGCTTAGTAAGTTTTACGATCTTTAAAAGGGCACAAATATAAAGCCATGCTGCAGTTAGTCCACTTGGTTTCCTAGGACCACTGACATAATTCAAATTCAGACCAAATTTGTAAACATAAGTTGAAAATATGGTTTAGTCTTACGTTTCGACTGGGAAATACCTGTTGTTCTGGTCATATGTATCAAGAAATTACTTAAGATCTCTTATAGTTCCATCATAGTTTTCACATTTTTTAGTAACATAGTAAACTACAAAAATCTCTTCTGTTAAATTCTTTAAGTCTTTAAAATTTTTTTATTTTTGAGCTGCTCTTTTAGAATAAGGTGGATTACTCTGGATGAAATTCTCTGTTCCGGGGAGCAATTAAAATATGTCAGTATCAATATTTTCATTGCCATGTCACACAAATATTTTCACAGAAAATCCCCCACATCTGCTGTGGAAAACAGAAATTGCAAAGGGACCAAAGGGATTAAACCCACTGTCAATTGCAGACGTATCGTTACACATCAGACAGGCCAGAGATATCTGCGGGTCTGAAATGTGTGTTCTTATATAGGGAGTGGCACCATATACATATATCCCTTAGATTCCCAAATGCGGGGTATCCAACTCGCACGTAAAACACAATTAGGAGGCACGCACACGAGGCATGACATAAACATAACATAAACAATGCGAAAACATTAGGAATGCCGGAAAAACTGGAGATATGTATACACCTGCCTAGAACCCAAGGGGGCGGTTCTCCCTTCGTCAGTGATGATTTGCGGCATTTTTTATGATTGTTTTATGAGTACGTGGAGGGGAAAATGAAATGCGGCCGACAAAAGCAAAGACCACTTCGGAATGCGAGAAGTCATTTGCAAATTTCACAAATTCCTCCTAGGAATTCGCCATGGAACAACAAACAGAGACAAAGGTGTTCGTTCTTTCCCAGATAAAATGTTATTAATAGGACGCCCGTCAAGGAGCAACTTCTTGGGCTGCTCACAAACAACAAAGTTTACACATGATAAAGTCTATTCTCCGCCCACATATCTTATTACTTTTACTTACCGCAGTCAAAGGAGAAAATCGTACGTTAATTTAGACACTTTCACTCACCTGCAAGAGAAAAGAGAAGAATTTATGAAACCACAATAAATTTTAGTACTCAGAGAAATTACAATACTTTAGATAAATACCAATATATTATATACTTTTATTGGATAATTCTTTAAATATGTTTGCTTTAATATTGCTTCTTAAAGAATCATGGTATATTTATATGTCAAATTATTGATAATTTTATAAATATCAAAAGTTGTTTCTCTTTTTATCCAGAAGTCTTACATATTTAAAACAGTTTCACTACATAAAAAGTATATTTCACATTCATAAGTTTTTTATATATGAAAAACAATGGGAGGAACCCAACTAAAACTATTTTCAATATTTTTCTCAGTGCAAACTAACGTTTTGTGGGTGTGTCCTGTAACTAAAGCCCTTAATGTTCTTCAATAGCTTCTGATATATGAGCTTGTGCTGTTGGCGTTTCACTCTCGACTTTTATGGGCTATTGTAAGGGATTTTTTTTTGGTGAAGAGGTAAAGTGTAGTGTTCTTATAGCAATAAAATGGCTTAAACGATACCAAAGAGTCTTGGCTAGACATTGAGCATAGTTGAGATCTCAGCCACGAAACACCGTTAAAAAGCCGTTAAACTCTATCTAGCATTCCATTGGCCCATTTCACTTTTATCCGGGCGATAATCATTCATTTCAATTACGCGCTTACACATTA